AATAGTATTAGTAGTAGTAGTAGTATAATAGTATTTAGTAAATCAATAGTACTAGTAGTAACAGTACCAATAGTAGTAGTAGTAGTAGTACTAATAGTATTAGTGGTAGTAGTAGTACTAATAGTATTAGTGGTAGTAGTACTAATAGTACTAGTAGTAACAGTACCAATAGTAGTAACAGTACTAATAGTAGTAGTGGTAGTAGTAACAGTACTAATAGTAGTAGTGGTAGTAGTAACAGTACTAATAGTGGTAGTAGTAACAGTACTAATAGTAGTAGTGGTAGTAGTAACAGTACTAATAGTAGTAGTGGTAGTAGTAACAGTACTAATAGTAGTAGTAGTAATAGTACTAATAGTAGTAGTAGTAGTAGTACTAATAGTATTAGTGGTAGTAGTACTAATAGTACTAGTAGTAACAGTACCAATAGTAGTAACAGTACTAATAGTAGTAGTAGTAACAGTACTAATAGTAGTAGTAGTAATAGTAGTAGTAACAGTACCAATAGTAGTAATAGTACTAATAGTAGTAGTAGAAACAGGACCATCTAAGAAGCCTGTTAAGTCTAAAGAGGGCTTTTGGGATTTGAAGGAGGTAACAATGCTACAGTATTTAATTTAAATACATCATGGATCAAATGACAGTCACTGAGCAGGAACCAACAAGAGAGATGTCAATTTATTCTGCCTCATGTACCTAATCAGGCTTCATAAACCATCCACTGCAATGCTGCTGCCTCGCTTGGTTTATTTTGTATTCATTTATTTATTTATACTATATATTACGGTTGCCTTTGTCAGTTTTATTTTAACCTACGCCCCTTGAGATGGCACACGTCTGCTTTTTGCCCCAGTCCTAAAAATTATTTTTTTTAAATGGCATCAAATGAAATGATGTGTGAACCCAGTGTTTGCACAGGATCGCTTTATATCTACGGCCTCTATGCTAGTTGAAGCCTCAGAGAATCAAACATATTAAACAGCGTGTTATTTATTGTATTTATGAGTTAGTTGCAGCGTTTGCTGCCACATAATTCAAACCTGCTGCTTGTGAAAGTGTCACTTTTTTACAGTCTCCAACGCATTAAAGCATCTGCTGATGGGAGAGAGGGCTATTATAGCAGCACAAGATGATAAAGTGGCTGTGCAGGAGAGCAACATGTTTGCTAACATGTGTTAAAGGGAGACTGGTCAGAACAAAAAAAATAATAATTACAGATCAATAATTCAGCTTGTGGGCTGGCTGGTTATTTATTTATTTTTTTGTTATTATTTCAGTATTGCCAACATTAGATTAGAGACATCCAGAGATTAATGGCGTATAAAGTCACTTTTCCTCTGCACAGTACGGCTTGACTCGGCTCGCTTTACTTTTCCGAGCTTGCTTTTCCACTGCGGTTTAATGCCATCTCGACATGGGTGCCATCTTCCACTCGTCTTCACGCAGGAATGATGTTGTATTATCGAAGCCCTGTACAAATGCACGATCAGGCCGTATTCCAAACGCCTTTCCTGTTCACTGAACACGGACGCAAAGTATGTATTAAATGACACACATTTATTCAGGCACAATACAGAACCACTCCTTAAGGAGAATCCGTACTCCCTCAGTGTGTGGCTCACATTTAGTATCGGCTCGGCTCGCTCGGAACCTTGACGGAGGTGGTACTAAAAAAAAGTACCAGGTACCAGGTACTAACCACAGTGGAAAACCCCCAAAAAGTCGAGTCAAGCCGTATCGTGCAGTGAAAAAGCACCATAAGGGTACTATTAGGAAGCTGAACGATTCCTCAAACACCATCTGCTGTATGTAAGGAACACTTCACATACAATGAATGCTACAGTGGTGTAACACCGCCACAAAGCATATTTTATTTACAGAAACGCGCGACCCGAAGTGTGTTAGTCCACTTATAATACAGTGAATTCACAATGATTACAATGTTTCATTTACAGAAAAAAAAATGACATTACGCTTTTTAATCATTTTATAGCGATATTGAAATGCTAGACAACTTGGTTCCCTTTATCGCTTGCATTATAACGACGACGAACAGTTGTTTCCTAAACAGCATCTCCCTTACTCTCTCTTGAGGTTAGTGAGAAAAACACAGTTACTCGTTTTACAAAGAAATCTGAAAGGTTAAACTCCTCCGTCCGGAAAACACCCGAGACTTCTTCCAGAAATGTTAATTAAACATCTAACAAAAAAACAATTGTGTGTTTTACTTTGGTAAAATGCTTTTTTTGTTGTTGTTTTTTTTTTTTACTGTTTATTATTATTATTATTATTATTATTATTATAAGCCTTTGGTAACGTTGAGCGTCCACAATACTAATCCTTGTGTATGAACTGTTACTATAGAAATGTATTAATAATTCGTTTATTAATTAATATAAACCTTTCATTCATATTAAAGCCCAAACTGCTGTTATAGAAAATTCTGACGAATCAGATTTGAGAAGTCTGAAGGACATTTTTTTTGAAGCACGGGATGTTATTATCGATTAATGAAAGGCTACAGTTCAAAACCATAAACTCGACAGAAACGCTCAGGCTGAGAGATTTAAGCACAAATTATAATGCTAATATTTATGTCTGAACGTACTATTAACTTTAACCTCCCTGTAAAAAAAATTTTTGAATGAAAAAAATAAAACCCAACCAACCAAATGTGTGTTTTTGCTGCAGTATTAGAACTTGTCTGTAACGGGGATTAATCTCAGACAAATCTCCAAGTGTACAGCGTGAGTGCCTTCTCATTTACACAGTTCTTATTTATTATCATCTGAAGGTTGGGAGAATCAGCAGCACCGGATATATCTAAAACATCTGATCTGAAGACCTGTTTGGCTAAGTGCACTTTAAATTCATGCACATGCAGATATTTGCTCACTCATTCAGATCATTACATGTTGCAGTCCAAGTAAGCATTAAGCGTAATTTAGTGTTGCAAGAACGTAAATATACATCAGCGCAAGGGTTTGGTCAGACGCTCTGGGAGTACTTCAGCGTAATACGCTACTCCAACTGCTGCAACACATTTTTTAAGTTCTTTTTTAAACCCACATTGTTTCCTTTCAGGTAAAAATACAAAAGTGCAAAAAATGAATCAAATCCTAGCATTACTTAAATCCCAGATTCAGTCTACTGACTGAGACATCTAATGTCTACCACTCACCAGAGTCTGCTCTCTCTTGATCATAAACAGAACAAATGTGAGTCGAAGCTTCCTAGCTAGGCCGTGCTTATGACACCAATGAGTTTACTCACGTTGCATGTTCCCCATAATCCCCCTGCGAATCAGGTGCACATTCTCCGGTGAAGAGATTGACGAAGGGAAGGAGAAACAGGACAGGACCTCAGAGTGCGATGTGTGTGTGTGTGTGTGTGTGTGTGTGTGTATATGTAGACAAGTGTGTTGTGTTCGTCAGTTACCTGCCTGGCAGGTTCCACACACACCCAGTTAGGGTTTTTTTTTCCTCTGAATTCTTCAAATCGTGAGGGGAGGGGGAGGGGGGGAGCTTCTTCTGTAGTGAAATCATGGACGAAATCATGCATGACGGATTGTGGATCTGAAAGAGCTGCTAACATTTCGTAGGCTTGTACTGACAGACTCAAAGCTTTCCTCTCTCTCTCTCTCACACACACACACACACACACACACACACACACGCACACCATCATGAGCCAAGCGCTCAGGCCCAGAGTAGTCAGAGTAACATGATAACATTGTGCTGTATGGCAAACTGGGTCATAATAACGCACTCATTCATTGCTAGTCATTGCTCCATATTATTCCTTTTAAGGAAGGAAAGGAGGAGGAAGGGAAGAAAATGTGGCCCTGAGAGCAACTAAAAATTCTGCCAGGATTCTGCTTCTACAGCACTTACGCCTACCAGCGCTAATACACTCCTATTACACACAGGACTGTTCAGTTTCATTTTAAAGCCTCGTGTGCTTCGCTGGCAACACACCCTTGTCCCCGCCCCTCTATCCTGGTTTAACCAATCACCGGCAACTTAAAGCCTGATTTCCTAATGCCGCTGTCACACTGGACTAAACGCCTCCTTCTCCAAGAACTGAACGTTTTTCAGGGTGTGTCACTAAAGTGTACATTTCGGTCGGTTCTGTGCAGGTGAGCGGGTGTGGACATCTTTGTTTTGTGTGTGTGGTGGTGGGTTTTTTTTTTTCACTAATTAAATTTCATCCAGTTTATCTTACATCTTGCTGAATGTTCATACACGATCAGATATGGCTCTAAACATGCACATGCTATAGCTAAATGTCCGGTAAATGGCATAATAAAATAAATATCGAACACGCGGTCAAATCTAGCAGGAGCACCAACGATCTCTGCAACCTTCCTCTACAATGCTTCATCCTTTTCTCTTTTTTAAACAAATCTCTCCACATCTATCAAACAATAAAGAAAACCCTAATGTGTCTGTTTTTATTATTATTATTCTTATGATTAATGTTTTTAAATGCAACACTGAAGGCTGTAACGGCAAGGAAACGATATGAGGCTCTCGATTCTGATAAAATAAATTATTGCTTAGATCACATGAGGTTTGATAAACTTTTAAACTTCAGTAAGCCCACACGTCTGTCTCAAAAAAAAAAAAAAAAAAAAAAAAAAAAAGTAACTGCCTCTTTAACTTACAAGCTTCTCCTAAGCAGTTTTTCCACAGTTGTATATGCTAGCATACTAGCACGCTAACATATTAGCACCAAGTAGTCTTTAAGGTCTGGTGTTCAGGAGCACTTTGGGTTCCTGGTAAGTGAGGACGCTGATGGCCAGTGAGTTGTGTACTGAAACTTTACATTGTGTCATTAATATATAGGTGTGTGGTGCCCAGGGGATCAGGGGATTCAGGGCACCCTGGATGAGGTGCTGACCCATCTCACATACAGTCTCACACTATGGAAAATACGGAAATGTCTTTGGACTGGGGGAGGAAACCACTAAAGCAAGGGGAGAACATGCACACACAGAGAGGAGGTGGGATTCGAACCCCCACCTCCATAGGTGCGAGGCAATCGCGCTAACCACTAAGCCACCAAGCCTCCCTGGATATTTTAAATATATTGGTAAAAGATTTTAAGAAAAGCATTTTTAAGCAATATTGCACAAGCAAGAACACTGTTATACTGAATATTGGCACTGCTGTGGGCACGATGCAACATGTAATCACAGCTGTGCTGATCTGCAGTACAACAGCACGACTGCGAGTGTGATATTGCTTTTATACAACAGTTCTATGAATAATAAAAATTAATATTGAACAGCAATATGGCTAAATAATTTGTTTATTTCTGATCGGTCAGTGGAAATCTTTTCCAAAGAAGCAACAGAGTGATATCTCCCTGCAGGTCTCGCCTGGTTTCCCACTGAAGCTACGCAGGGTTGAGCCTGGCCAGTACCTGGATGAGTAAACTCCTGCTGGAAGTGGTATTATCGAGGCCAGCAGGGGGCACTCACCCTTTGGTCTCTGTGGGTCCTAATGCCCACGTACAGTGACGTGGACACTATAGTGTACAAACAGCACCGTCTTTCAGATGAGATGTTAAACGGAGGTACTGACTCTCTGTAGTCATTAAAAATCCCATAATAATCTCCATCTCTGACTTGGCTACATCACTCTCTCCTCTCCACTAATAGCTGGTGTGTGGTGTGTGTTCTGGTGCACTACGGCTGCCGTCGCATCATCCATGTGGATGCTACACACTGGTGCTGGTTGAGATCTCCCCCCTATACAATGTAAAGTGCTTCGAGTGTCTATACATTTTTCTTACAAACGAACAGTTGGATAGAGCATTGTGCATTTCCATGCCAACGCACAGACAGACTGACAGCCCATAGTAAGTGTAGTAATGGTTTTGGAATTGTTTGAAGTGAACTGGAAATAAGTGTTGTATAAAAATATATACAGTATAGCAGATAATATAATGAGATAATCCTTTTCCCCACTTTAAAACTTCTCTTGGTTCTCTCTCCACAATGCAGAGGACTAGCCGTAATGAACTTCTCTCCTAACGTGTACGAGACAGATTTGAGCTTGTGGCCTGACGACTGTGACCTGAAGCGTGAGAACCCTCACCACGTTAAACAAATCATTTGCATGAAGTTGCGTTAGTATTTATTTATATATATATATATATATATATATATATATATATATATATATATATATATATATATATATATATATTATATGTATATGTATATATATATATATATACAGTGGTGTGAAAAAGTGTTTGCCCCCTTTCTCATTTCCTGTTCCTTTGCATGTTTGTCACACTTAAGTGTTTCGGAACATCAAACCAATTTTAACCAATAGTCAAGGACAACACAAGTAAACACAAAATGCAATTTGTAAATGAAGGTGTTTATTATTAAAGGTGAAAAAAATCCAAACCATCATGGCCCTGTGTGAAAAAGTGATTGCCCCCCTTGTTAAAACATACTATAACTGTGGTTGTCCACACCTGAGTTCAATTTTTCTTAGCCACACCCAGGCCTGATTATTGCCACACCTGTTCACAATCAAGGCATCACTTAAATAGGAGCTGCTTGACACAGTAAGGTCCACCAGAAGATCCTTAAATCACATCATGCCGAGACCCAAAGAAATTCAGGAACAATTGAGAAAGAAAGTAATTGAGATCTATCAGTCTGGAAAGGGTTATAAAGCCATTTCCAAAGCTTTGGGAATCCAGCGAACCACAGTGAGAGCCATTATCCACAAATGGCGAAGACATGGAACAGTGGTGAACCTTCCCAGGAGTGGCGGCGCCGCACCAAATTCCCCCCCCAAGAGCGCAGCGACGACTCATCCAAGAGGTCACAAAAGACCCCACAACAACGTCCAAAGAACTGCAGGACTCACTTGCCTCAGTTAAGGTCAGCGTTCATGCCTCCACCATCAGGAAAAGACTGGGCAAAAATGGCCTGCATGGCAGAGTTCCAAGGAGAAAACCACTGCTGAGCAAAAGAACATCAAAGCTCGTCTCAATTTCTCCACAACACATCTTGATGATCCCCAAGACTTTTGGGACAACATTCTGTGGACCGATGAGACAAAAGTGGAACTCTTTGGAAGGTGTGTGTCCAAGTATATCTGGTGTAGAAGGAACACTGCATTTCATAAAAAGAACATTATACCAACAGTAAAATATGGTGGTGGTAGTGTGATGGTCTGGGGCTGTTTTGCTGCTTCAGGACCTGGAAGACTTGCCGTGATAAAAGGAACTATGAATTCTGCTGTCTACCAAGAGATCCTGAAGGAGAATGTCCGACCATCTGTTCGTGTACTCAAGCTGAAACGAACTTGCGTTCTGCAGCAGGACAATGATCCTAAACACACCAGCAAGTCCACCACCGAATGGCTGAAGAAAAACAAAATGAAGACTTTGGAGTGGCCTAGCCAAAGTCCTGACCTGAATCCTATTGAGATGTTGTGGTATGACCTTAAAAAGGCCGTTCATGCTCGAAAACCCTCTAATGTAACTGAATTAGGACAATTCTGCAAAGATGAGTGGGCCAAAATTCCTCCAGGACGCTGTAAAAGCCTCATTGCACGTTATCGCAAACGCGTGGTTGCAGTTGTTGCTGCTAAGGGTGGCCCAACCAGTTATTGGGTTTAGGGGCAATCACTTTTTCACACAGGGCCATGATGGTTTGGATTTTTTTCACCTTTAATAATAAACACCTTCATTTACAAATGCACAATTTGTGTTTACTTGTGTTGTCCTTGACTATTGTTTAAATTGGTTTGATGTTGTGAAACACTTAAGTGTGACAAACATGCAAAGGAACAGGAAATGAGGAAGGGGCAAACACTTTTTCACACCCTGTATATATATATATATATATATATATATATATATATATATATATATATATATATATATAAATGAACGAGAGGGAGTTTAAATACAAACTGCTTCATCTGGAACTTCACACCAACATCCACCATTGTTTTTTTTATTGATTTCTTCCCTCCACCCCACATTTTCAAATCACGACGAATACCAAAGAAAAAGTGAGCCTTTACGTGAGCGTATAGTATATAGGTATAGCGTGTGCCATGCTGCACCTCAAACAGTGCACAGATCTGGTCTGCGTACATGAATAAAAAAGGCTTTGATTTTCCGTGTGACCTTATTACACCTCTTACCTTAATCACTGTCAACATGGCAGGCGCATTGATCGACGGTAGAGTTAAGGTCAATCCGACTTCAGTACAGGTATTGCAGGGCTAACGTTCTGTTCAATATAATCGACTAGTAACGTACACAACATCTACCAGCTTGTCAGAACGAGCTCAAGGGAAAAATGGGCTGCCTCGAGGAGAGGAAAGGTGGCAGGGGCTCCACACCACAAGAATGTCTGAGAGAAAGAGAACATGTCTGGGGGTAAAGTTCACATACAGGTGGACACACACACACACACACACACACACACAGAGCACAAAGGCGTAACCTTTACTTCACCTGCTCCGACCATCTGGTTTGGCTCACTACATTACATGAGTCAAGAGTGAAGAACAGAAGGATGACTAACCTGTGACATTACCCCATCTAATGCACGCACGCACGCACGCACACACACACACACGCACACGCACACACACACACACACACACGCACACACACACACCTTATCCTGACCTGGATATGGACCTGACTTGTGCTCAGTGGGGCAGGTGCCCTCAGTCTGGAGCGGGGGATTTGGAGACTCAACTCTCGTACTTAATCTCTGAAGTTTCCTGTTGTGCTCTATTAATCTTTACTTCCGCTGCTGAAGCGCACAAATCTGTGTTTAGACGCCGGAGCTTGGATGAACGATGATCCGTTTGTTTGCTTGATTGAAAGAAGATTACTCTCGAGCTGCGATGATGAGTACACAATTGAATGTTCATGTTTTCAACAGATATAAAGAAAGAGTTTGGAATGTTTAGAGCCCTCTGCTGCCGGTGAGATGAATAATCTGACAAGAATTCTCCTTACGCCCAACCAACTCCACCCCTCTCGGTATGCCTCGTAAGTCGCCTCTTAATTAAAAGAGGCAGAGCTGAGATGTTATGATGGGGCTGGGAGGAGAACAGGAATCTAGCCAGATGCTTTGATATATCAAATACAATAATAATAAAAGGACAATAAAAGTCAGGTATCACTCCACAAATGGTTCCTTCCTGAAATGGGATTTAGGATAAAATGTCCTACAGGTTCTCCATATATTAGAATAAATAAATAAATAAATAAATGTACAAATTCTCTATGTTGATTGAATAAACAAAGTGTCCGACCTGGGGAATTTGAAGATCATCGACTGAAGCATAATGAGCTCCGTAGCAGAAATAGAGCTCCAAAGCTGGCTAAAATGCCCATCACCCCTATCTTACAGGCAGGCGCCATCAAAACTCCCAATACAGTGCTTATCCCTCACTAGCTTCGGATTGTACCCTGGAACTGAAAATGATATCAAACTCATAACTGCAACATTGCAAAATTCCGAGACGCACGGAATTCACAAATGAATTGCACGCTCTTGACTGTCTAACTGAAGAAGACAGCACGATGCATTATTAATGAACTGTGTGACTACTGCCTGCTTGGGGACCATTTATCAAGATCAAAGTCAGCCACAACTTTGAATGTACACATTTTATATTATATACACACACACACACACACACACACACACAGTATCTCTCAAAAGTGAGTACACCCCTCACATTTTTGTAAATATTTGATGATATCTTTTCATGTGACAACACTGAAGAAATGACACTTTGCTACAATGTAAAGTAGTGAGTGTACAGCTGGTGTAACAGTGTCAATTTGCTGTCCTCTCAAAATAACAACACAGCCATTAATGTCTAAAACGCTGGCAACAAAAGTGAGTACAACCCTAAGTGAAAATGTCCAAATTGGACCCAAAGTGCCAATATTTTGTGTGGCCAACATTATTTTCCACCCTCTTGGGCATGGAGTTCACCAGAGTTTAAGTTTTCACTTAGGGGTGTACTCACTTTTGTTGCCAGCGGTTTAGACATTAA